AAATAAACATGATACAAATACAAATCCTTGTATGTATCCTTATATTATGACAGACACAGACACAAATGCCACAGAACAAGTTAGTGGGAACCATAACTGATAAATAAAGAGAGCGGGGAGAATATTTGAATAAAAACCAGTGGAGGGAAGAGCTGGAGAGAAATAAGAAGGGTAGAATAAAAGGAGAGTAAAACAAATCGTAGACAGAGCAAATAATAATCTACCGCATATACACCAAGAGGTCAACTTATTCATATATGAAATTTTCATTCAGCGGAAAAAGAGTGCAAGTTGCTTATAATCTAAAAGAACAAACATTTGATGTCAGGGGAAATCTTAGAACTAGTGGAAAAAAGAAATGTTATGCTACAACATACCACAAAAACAGGAAGCCACATTCAAGAAATAGTGGAACTGAACAGGAGAATAAAATGTATGTGCATCAGAGATAAAGAAACAATATACCTAAATAACGTGTGTCAAGAACTGGAGCAGCATGCAAACCACCATGGAAGTCATAAAATATTTAAAAAAATTCAATATTTGACCAGAAAGTTCAAAGCCACTTAAAACCATAATGGAGAAATAAAACCGACATATAGGGGAGGGTAGTACAGAATGAGACAAATAACACATTTTTATTTCTGACATTGACATTTTTTAATTCGTCTACAAACTGAGTTGACCAGGTATCAATATGATCATTTCCTAAATATAATCTGAAATGAATATTCCCTCATGAGTGAAGAAACAAAATCTACGATTATTGTTCTAACCGTCTACATCTGTCTCAGTGTGTACCATTGGTAGTAGACAATGAGTCAAGTGGTATTATTTCAATAATGTGTTAAAGAACAATAGAGTACAATAGAAAAACTGAAATGAAAGAAAATTTTAACGGATCTTAATTCTGTCAAACTTTACATTAAATTTGAAATAAGATGCAAGGCGCTTGTTTTTTTAATCTACATTTATTGGTTTTGGTAGAATTGATAAAACGTCTGACCTAGCTACTGCAGCAATGTCTTCAACTAAAGGAAAAATAAAGCAGCCTTGAAGCTTACCACTTTTTTTTATACCACTTAACTTAACCTTAGAATAGAAACGGAAAAGGCTAGAGCAAATTTCAACAAAATGAGAAGAGTGCTATGTACCAGGGAATTTAAAACTGGAACTAAGAGTTAGGTTGGCGAGGTGCTATGTGTTTTCGACTTTATTTTATGGAATGGAATGTTGGACCTTGAATACGACATCAATAAAAAAACTGGAATCATTCGAGTTGTGGGTTTAATGATTCCAGTTGAATACTGAATACTGAAAATATCGTGGACAGAACACGTCACAAACAAAGAGGTTCTGAAAAGGATTAATAAAGAAGTAAACATTTTAAATACAATTACAACAAGAAAATTGGAATATCTCGGACATATTACACGAGAGAGAAATACACCTTGCTCAAATTAATTATGCAGGGAAAGATTCAAGGAAAGAGAAGCATAGAGAGGCGTAGAATGTCATGGCTGCGCAACCTGAGAGAGTGGTACGGATGTACATCAAACGAACTTTTCAGAGCAGCCGTCTCAAAAGTCCGAATAGCTATAGATGATTGTCGACCTTCGCCGCGGAGACGGCACTTGAAGAAGAAGAAGGATATGAAAACCTTCTAACGAATTTATGGTTCATTTGGAAAAACTAGAGCAAATTTTTCAAAACTTTAATGGAGATGCCATATTTACTGACAAACAATATATTTCAAGTCTGTTATCCACAAGTGTTAATATTGATTGTCCTCAAGATGTTAGAAATGCTCCTCAAGAAAATATTTTTTCGATCGCGTATGTACTTCCGTATAAAAGATTGTAACAAAAAAATGATTTTAACACGAACTAAAAAAAAATACAAAAAACTATCGCATAATGTATATAGTTTTATATTTTTAAACGTAAATTGTTTAAAAACCGTTTTATACAGGGTGTTTCAAAAAAAGGTAACCCCGTCTCTAGGGTAGGTAAAAAACTGAAAAATAATTGGGGTTTACTTAGTAAAAAATTTTTGTAACGCCATCCGTTTCCAAGATACATGGCGTTGAAAAAAATTACGCATTTTTTACGATTTTGCCGAAACTACTGGCAACATTGTAATGAAATTTTATTCGAATATGTTTTGGAAGCTGATACATCCCATGAATTCGTTTTTTATATCTGATTCTCATAGAGGGCGCTAGTTACACGGATCGTACTAATTATTATCAATATAACTTTTTTAAGAGTATAATTATTAATCAAAATTTCAAGTAAACTTAAACATCATTCAATTTTAACACGAAAAAGGTACTCTTGGTAAAACTCGATACTGTGTACTGTTTTCGGAATATTTTGATTTGAAAATTACGAAGTCATAATTGATGCTGGTAGTAATGATAAAGTTCTAATAGGTATACCTCTATTTTCTCCAAGTGTGCCTAGGAAATCTGACATTTATTGATTGTTATGATGATAAATCAACAATAATTAGAGTTTTGAAACCTTGTTATTTGTAAAATCAAATCAAAATGTACTCAAATGTTGAATACTCTGACATGTTATTAACCTTAGGCGAATGTTTAGGATGTTCTATAATAGTGCAGCTGTGACACGTTATGCAGAAAAGTTTCCTAGAAGAAACTTAATAAGTAAAAAAACATTTAGAGCCGTTGAACGACGTTGTCGATAAACTAGGAATGTGAGACCAAATAAAATAAATTCTGGTAGACCAAGAACAACAAGAACAATTAATAAAGAAAATAATATTTTAAATTTACTTGATCAAGATCCAACAGTTAGCGTAAGGAACTTCTTCAAGTACTTGGCGGATACTGAAAGAACAGCAATTACATCCTTATCATTACAGACAAGTCCAAGAGCTCTTGCCAGATGATCTACCGGTTAGAGTGGATTTTTGTGAAACATTGGAACAAAGGACAGCCACAATCCAAATTTTTTTAAAAGTGCATTCTTTTTGCGGATGAGGCCACCTTTACGCGACAAGGTACGTTTAACTCCCATAATGCAGACTACTGGTGTGATGAGAATCCACGAGTCAAAAGGGTATCACATTACCAACACTCATTTAACGTTAATGTTTGTGGCAGCAACTTTAGGTAACAAATTAATAGGTTATCATATTCTACCTGGAAATTTAAATGGTGATATGTAACTTGATTTTTTAAACAATTCCTTATTCGAGATATTAGAAGATTTAACGCTAAACGAGCGAAGATCTTTATTTTTATGCACGATGGAGCTCCACCACATTTTGATAGAAGGTGTCGTAATTGGTTGAGTAATCATTTTCCGAATCGATGGATTGGTCGAGTTGCGGAAGCTCCGATTCATTGGCCTCTTCGGTCATTCGATTTTAACCCTTTGGACTACGCAGTTTGGTCGTATATTAAGGAAAAAGTCTATGCTACAGAGGTAAATTCACGCCAAGAATTGGAAGAAAGATTTCAACGTCAATTTAATGATAGCTGATCCCCTACCGTTTAGAAGGTTAATGGAATCTTTAGAAAAAATAATACACTTGTTTATTTGCGAAAACGAAGGGCATTTTGAACACTTACTGTAATTAAATTTTATTTTATGTTCTTAGTCATTAATTTAATTTTCTTCTTGTGAGTTTTGTTTAATTACTAACTATTTTATACCAGCATCAATTATTACTTCATAATTTTCAAATCAAAATATCCCGAAAACGGTACACAGCATCAAGTTTTACCAAGAGTACCTTTTTCGTGTAAATTGAATGATGTTTAAGTTTACTTGAAATTTTGATTAATAATTATACTCTTAAAAAAGTTATATTGACTAATACTTAGTACGATCCCTGTAACTAGCGCCCTCTAGGAGAATATGATATAAAAAACAAATTCATGGGATGTATCAGCTTCCAAAACATATTCGTATAAAATTTCATTACAATGTTGCCAGTAGTTTCGGCAAAATCGTAAAAAAATGCATAATTTTTTTTCTTCAACGCCCTGTATCTTGAAAACGGATGGCGTTACAAAAATTTTTTACTAAGTAAACCCCAATTATTTTTCAGTTTTTTACCTACCCTAGAGACTAGGAGTTACCTTTTTTGAAACACTCTGTATATAGTTATTAGATATATAGATCTTTATTTAAATAGAAACCTAATATAATATACATATTTAGCAATAATATTAAGAGATCGTAATATTTATTTTGAAAATTGGCATCGGGCTTCTGTAAGTGACGGTTGTTTTAAGTATTTAAATGTACGTATATATTCTGTATACCAATTTTTTATATTATACGTAATTGGTATTACCAATTACGTATAATATAAAAATTTTGTTCCTTCTTAAAAGTTTATGAAAAGTGCAAGTACTTATATAGGTACCTAAATAAGTAGCTATTTTTTGTACTAATACCTTATTAGTTCTAATTCGTTATTTTTCTTGGTTTCTTGGATTATACAAATGTTTATGTGGGCTTGTACTTCCTTCTCGTTTTAATGCACTAATCTGGCAAATCAACCCTCCTCTTTTATTCGGACTTGGGAGATCAAAACAACATGAGAACAGACAGAAAATTGTGAGGAAATATTATAGAGAAAATATCACTGCGACTTGATTTCCCGTGACAAAGGAAGTACAAATAATGGCGAAGTTGCAACCATTTCGGCAGTGATGTGGACAATAATGATAAGTTAATAAAATATTTTTAAGAAATAGTTATTGAGTTATTGGATGAGGATGACCATTTAAAATGAAATATCCATACTTGAAGTATATTTTTCAATTACGCTACCATTTTTTTCTACAGTTCAGAAAATGATTATTTATAAGTTTCAAAATAATAATAAACCTTGATGTTGATACAGTGATTGGAAAATAATTTTGAAAGTGACACCCTGTACGTCTTAAAAATAGCATCATCGCCAACGGTTTAATTATCAAGCCTGCCTCGATATCTTTGTTTCATGTTTCATCTCGCATTCATAAACATCCACTCGACCGATCTTGCCACACTCAAATCTCAGTTGGCGGCTCCCATACATATCAGCTTACTTAATATATTACAAGTTACAAGCCTTCCAGTAGAAAGTAAGAGTGGTCGGTGTCATGTGTTAAATTGTTTTGGGCTGCTTTTGGTACTTGTACTTAATCAAAATGTGGTGGAATTACGGACTTGTAGTACTACTGGCGGTGGTTTTTCTAGGAGAAGCTACGCAATGCCCTTCTAAGTGTCAATGTTACAAAAAATCAGTGAAATGTATTAAGCAAGAGTTGACCAAAGTGCCAAAAACTTCTGCACAAACCACATTTCTGTAAGTTATTTTTTATTTTATGAATAAACATTTTCTTGTCGATTTTAAACACTTAAGTACACTTGACTATAATAAATTACCGAAGATATAACTATCAACTACATTTTAGGACGATAAAAAAAAACATTTTTAAAAATTTTATTATTCTACTGACTGAAGTTATATTGAAGGGTGAAAGAGTTACAAATTTAGATCTTAAATATCTCAGATATTCAGTATAGTAAGCGCAAAGTAAGTGTGAGCCACGTTTCCTTGTTTATAAAGTGCGATAATTTTCAAAATCAAAATGTATATATATATATATATATATATATATATATATATATATATATATATATGTATATATATACCTATATATATGTATATATATATACATATATATATATATATTATATATATTATATATATATATATATATATATATATTATATATATATATATATATATATATTCGGAAAGATTTCCACGGTTAGTACAATAAAACCTAGAGCTAAGATTAATATTATTACTAAAATTAATATCAAACTCACCAGTCTTCCGGGTTGAACCGCGTCGATATCCATTTTGCCGAGCTTTCGGCATCCTCTCTGATGCCTTCCTCAGGGCTTCCGAGGTCTCAGTCTCCCGAGCCCCCAGATGCTACTACACTGTTCACTGATCACTCATCAATCATTTTCTGTCTTTTTCGTTCTCATCTAAAATTAGGAGTGTTGTCTCTTCACCTATACTAAGGTCTTTTGTTTGATTCGATTTATTGTTAGTACCTATCCCCACTTGATATTCCTCAAGTACGTTAAACAAGGTAGGTAAGGGAGAACATCCATGTTCCAGGCCTTTAGTTGTGTGAAACCCTTTTGTTATCATATTGTTAGTTTTTATTTTGATTTTTGATGTTCAATTGTTTTATATGAGTTATATGTAATAGGTTGTTCAATAAGTTTTGCGGTTTTATTTACTTTCTTCTCTATTATTTGCATCAACTTAAACAAATCATCTACATACGAACTTCGATCCACTCGCTTTTCTATTTTCAAATTTTTTGATGGTTGTTTTGATTATATCTATTTTTATTTCTATTGGTTCTCCAAGTCATTCTATAATATGTATTTTGAAAGGACCCTTAAGTTAGCGGGTACACATGAGCGTAATCCAATTTAACCTAACGCCATATCTTTTCACCCATTTTTCACTAATTTGTAACCAACCAATAATTTTTCACCCTCAAACCTATCCCTAATAGGAGCGATTCCGGTAGCTTAATATCTATGCTAGCAGAATTAAAACAAATTGTTTTGAAATACCAGTGTTCTGCTACGTGTTTACGAATTTATTATCACCTTAAATAGTTAAAAAAAAATAATTTTTAAGTACCATTGTGTCCTGCAAAGTTTTTGTTATTCGTTTAGCACCATAATAATTGTTTATCCATCAACTATTTTTTTATGAGAAGCCAATAATTTTGCTAGGTTGAATTTTGAACTGACAAAACAAAATTAAAAAATAGTATTTTTGATAATTTTTCTGAAGTGTACTTTTACTTCGATTCTATACTTTTACTATTACTTTATTTATCATTCTTTAAAATTATTTGCAGTATTTGATATGAATTTTCCCTCAATATTGACTGTATTCTTGTTGGCTTTCCACAATATTTCTTTTGTTAGTTAAGTATATGATTCAAGGTGTTTTTAAGACACATTTATCTACATTTCCATGTTTCAATTCGATTTATTCGTTTTTACTTAATTTCATAATAAATTACCCTGGAAAATTAAATAAACCAGTTTTTTATATCTTTCCCAAAAATTCATTTAAAGCATGCCTTTTTAATAACTTTTTGTCGTTTTACTACATTTTCCTATCTATAATCGACATAGTTTCAATTTAATATTGATAACCTCATTATTTCGCAAATATCAAACATATATATACACATATTAATCTTTTGAACTTCAGCTTATAGTATTTTTTTAATTCTAACATTATATGATTTAGTAAACACCACATAATGTTAAAATTTATTGGGAGCAGCATTATACAAATTATATACCTAATTAAAAGCGTTAACATTGCCTAAGAATATTTCAAAGCACTGCCTTTTTTATAAAACACAAGAAAGACGGTAACTAAGCAAAGAAAAAATATAAAGAATTGGAAAATGACAAATATAATGAAATAATCCAGTCGCCCGAGATTTGACCTCTAAAAATCATACAAACAAGCTGAATTTTGCTGAGAATATCAATTTTAGGACCCCAAAAAAGATGCAAAGAGTTTACCACTTTTACTCTAGGGTTTTCCCCTAAAACCCCGCTCGTAGGTGGGAAAAAACAGAAAAAAATCGATTTATCAAGTATGTGTCTTCTTCTTCTTAGTCGTTAACCTGATGCAGGTATCGTGATATCATGAAGCTATTAGCTAAGTTTTCCAGTGTTCCTCCACGTTTCTTTATCTTCTGCCATTCTAGCACATTCTGACAATGGAGCGCCAATGGTAGCAACAATATGGTCCGTGTATCGTGTGGGAGATCTACCTCTATTTCTTTTGCCTTCTACTTTTCCCTGGATGGTAAATTTTTCAAGACCATTTCTTCGAAGCACATGTCCAAAATAGGTTATTATTTGTTCTGATATTTATGTTCTTAGTCTTTTCTTTATGTTTAGCTCGTTCAGTATGAATTCATTTGTTCTTCGGGTCACTCATGGTATTCTCAGCATTCGTCTCCAGCAGTACATCTCAAATACATCTATGTTCTTTTTGTCTTTATCAATAAGGGTCCAGAATTCCGATGCATAAGTAAAAACTGGAAAAACTATACTTCTTACTAGTCTCATTTTTGTATCGGTAGTTATTTCATGGCTTTTCCAAATTTTTGTTAATTTTGCCATAGCGCTTTTTGCGATTGGTGACCGCCGCTTTATTTCTTCAGTACCGCCTCCTTTGTTGTATATTAATGAGCCCAGATACACAAATTTATCTACAACAGCGATATTGTTTATCATGACCAGATGATTTTGATTGTTGTTAGCTCTGTCAATTATCATGATACTCGTTTTATCTCTGTTTATTTTAAGGCCCATCGTTAAGCTTACGTCTTCTATCCGTTGTAGCAGGTGAATCAATTCAGCTTCAGAACTAGCGAGGATAGTAGTATCATCTGCATATCTCAAGTTGCAAATCTTCTTCCCGCCAATGGTGATGCCACCGTTCCGGTCCTCAGTAGCTTTCCGCATTATCCATTCACCATAGATGTTAAATAGAATTGGGCTTGGTATGCAGCCTTGTCTCACGCCCTTTGTGACCCTGAAACTATCGGTTAGTTCCCCATTTGTTCTAACTCTGGCATAATTGTTATTGTACAGGCTTTTAATTAGCAGTATCAGATGATTAGGGACTCCCATTTCAGACAAAACCATGTGTGACAAAACCAAAAGCATGTGTTATACTGCAGAAAAAAATATTTTAAATAAAAAATGTAGCTGAGATCATTTTGAACAAAAATGTCTTTTTCTTCTTCTTCAAGTGACCTGTCCGTTGCGAACGTTGGCTATTAACATGGCAATTTTGATCTTGTTTGCGGCGCTTCTGAATAGTTCGACCGATGTGAGTCCGAACCACTTCCGCAGATTTTGGAGCCACGAGTGTCTTCTCCTGCCTGGCCCTCGCTTACTGTCTATTTTTCCCTGGACAATCAATTGTAGCAGACGGTACTTATTGTGTCTCAATATGTGGCCTAGATATTCAAGCTTTCTTTGTTCAATTGTATTCACGATCTCTTTCTCCTTTCCGATTCTTTGGAGTACCTCTATGTTGGTGACATGTTCGGTCCAGGATATACGAAGAATGCGTCGGTACACCACATTTCGAATGCTCTAGTTTTCTCGTTAGCGTCTCCGTTAGCGTCCAGGCCTCCACGCCATACAGCAAGATCGGAAAAATGTAGCATTTAACTATACGTAGTTTTAGGGGAAGAGACAAATCCTTGCTTATGAAGAGCTTTTGCATATTGCTAAATGCTGCTCTAGCTCGTTCTATTCTCACCTTAATTTCTATGGTCTGTTCCCATTTTGCATTTACGTTGGTGCCAAGGTACACATAAGATTCTACATGGTCAATTAGTATGTTACTTATCCGTAATTGTCGAGCAGGTTGTTGCTTTTTGCTTATCAGCATCCACTTTGTCTTCTTGAAGTTGAGGCTCAGGCCGTATTCCTCACTAACTGAATAAAGTCTTTCCATTACTTGTTGTAATTCGTCTATGGTACTGGCAAGGATGACCGTGTCGTCGGCATATCTTATATTGTTCGTTAACTCGCCGTTTATTTTTATGCCCTCATTTGCATTTTCCATACATTTGTTAAATATTAAATCGGAATACATATTGAATAGGAGTGGGGATAATATTCACCCCTGACGGACACCTCTTTTGATCTGCACGCTTTCAGTGAGTTCGTTGCCAATTTTTTGCTCTTGCTGTTTGACTCCAGTATAGGTTTGCCACAATTCGAATGTCCTTGTCGTCAATACCTCTCTTTCGCAGAATACCTATCAATTGTTCATGATTGACATTGTCAAATGCTTTTCTAAAATCTACAAAGCACAAATACACGTCCTTATCAACGAATTATGAATGTTCTTGGGAAAAACACTGTTTTAAAAACTGAACTTCACAAATAAAACTTTTATTTTCGACTTACAAAGATTTTAGTAGCAACAACAATAAATTAAATCAGACTAAATTATAAATCAGACAAAAGTACAAATCAGACTGAAAATATTGATTTTTACATGGTGTTTTTATAATTTTATAATTGCTGATCTTGCAGTCCAATACGTCGCAATTCAGTCCAGAATGATCGAGCGGTAGTCCCGTGTGGAATCCACGTGGTCGAATTTTACTGGATTGGTAAACTAACGTCTCTACACCGCTGTATAAGCACATGGAGAGCGAAAATTGCTTCTCTAGTTCCAAGTGCTTTCCGAAAACCAAACTGCGATCT